AAGAAGCGCTGCTGCCTTTCTCATCAAAACCAGCACCATATTGTTGGCTTCACTTTTCACTCTCAAGCTCGTCAGTCGATAGGAAAGGGGAGGGGAAGAGCGGTTTTTAATCTCCTTCAGACTCTGACCTTAATAACACAGGGCCACTCCTGGGCTGCCAGTTCGTTTCAAAGCGAGCTCGAGCGTATAATGTGGCATGATTAATACATTTACAGTAGCAATATAGAGACTGGGCCACATAGAAATAAGCAAACCATCGTAGAAGGAGATAATGGACATCTACAGCGACAGTCTTCCCAATCCTTTCAAACACAGAATAAAGCAGGGCATGCTTTATTACGTTGTCCTATGTGTCCTTAGACACAGATACCACATGTGATTGTGATTATATATACATGTTTGAACTGGGGACAGTGCCGATTTGAAGTGTACTGATTGATGATGAAAGGTATGACTCTGTGGTTGCCTTACAGATGCCAAAGACGGCCTGGCCTTTGTTGAGAATAGCTATATGTCTCTTTTTGAGTCAATCAAAAAAAATCCCTACTGCTATTAGTTAAGGTAATTAGGCTAGCTACATCAGCCACTGAGGCTAGCACTGGCTAATGTAGTCCTGCATCATTATGTCATTATGTGATGTTAAACGTCCATCCATTATTCAAAATATACTGTAGAATTTAGGCCAAGCCACTTAAACCGAATATGAAAGCTTTAGCATAATTATTAACATAACTTTTTATTTGAAGCAATTTCAATGTAACAACTTTAAATAACATTGTCCCAGTATTTCTAAAACTTCTGAAAAACCCAACAACCAAGACATTTGACAGTGTTTTACTATTGTCTGCATTTGAAGTAGTTTGTGCCTGAGGGATTGCAGACACTTGTAAAGTATGGCATGTTCAGTAAATCAGGACAGGTACTAATGAAGCAGTGTTTTTAAGACTGCACCAAGTTAGATTGTTGCAGTAAACTCAGTAAAAATAGTCAGCTGCAAAGGAGAAACTACACACGATTTGAATAAAATGAAAAAGATCTTTATGTCAGTTTTGGTATTTAATATGGCATTATTAATTTACTGACATTATATACGAGCCCATGACATTGCAAATGGAGTCCTTACTATGACACTAGTAGAGAAGTATATTTTTGAAAGTATGCATTATAAAGTATATATTTGTAGAAAGGATTACCGCGACTCCCAGCCTTACCAAGCAACTGCCACAGAAAAGATGATGAATCATGCAAAAGAACAGACTGTGTTTGTCTGTCTCTGTTACTTTGGAGAGTTGTCAGGGTTGAACAGGCTCCCTTCATCCTACACCACAAGCTGCTGGTTGTCGTCATGCTCCGCAGTCCCAGATGTAGTAATTCACAGTGGGTACTAACTGACAAGGGGACTAAGCACCACCAGGACTCACTGGGAGTAACAGCTGAGTGTGACAGAGAAGCCAGTGGGGCATACATTGAACATAAGGGAAGCAGGATGGGAACCTTTGACGTTATGTGGATGGAACATGCTTTATCAAAAGCCAAAAGCCCATTAAAACAAGTTGTGTTAGATCATTTCACAATAATTCAATGTTTAAGTTACCTTTATTTTCTTTAGTCAAGATATTTAAATTTCTTTTGCTAAGAATACCCACCTCAAAGTTCTATCTAGATCGTAATAGCTGTGAGTTGGCTTGTGGACGTTGTGGTTTGGGATACTTTATTTGGGTTGTCATGGCAACATGAAAATAAAATCCAAGCCACAGGGATTAGTCTTTTGAAATTTATGTTTTTGGAAAGTTCAACCTGCTGTATTGGTGTCAGATTTCAGATGAGTGTTTCTCCACTCATTAAGCGACCCATGAACCATCGCCTCATTTTCATTGCTTGTCTCAGGGTAACACTGTGATATCACTTAAATTTATGGCTTATTTCAAAGTGCTGAACAAGAAGATGCATCATTTAGCAGGATTTCATAATGGCTGTAAAACCATACAGAAGGCAATTAGCTAAAACAGAGTTGGGGGATAATTGTCTGTGATTTTAACTACTTGAGACCTTTGGCATTAAACAGACTTTTGATTCAGTGGTAAAATTAGAAATACTGATTGATGCAGGTTTATCTTTCCCTGTCAGAGATCACTAAAATGTTGGGTTTGGCTCTTACAGTATGTTTTTCTGTGTAGCCTTTGAGGACAATTTTGGAGTCCTTGCTGATGAGGGCCAGTTCTAATTGTGGACTGAACCAGCCGCTTTGGGCAAAGTAAGCCAATATTTCGCCTCCTTTCCTTGTGGCTCCCAAGATGCTGTGATGGCAAGAGGTAGCTGTCAGAATCAATCACAGAATTTTGTAGCTTAATGTCCAATTAGTATTCCAAGGTCCTTTAAATAAGCTGTTTGTCAACACTGTAAAGCACTCTGCACTGTTGCGCTTGTCCTTGGCATATGGGCCAATCAAAATTTGATGAAGCATCCAATCAACACAGATCACAGGGAGCCAGCCAATGTGTGTGTCCATGTCACAGTGTGTATTAACTTGATTTATAATCCTTGGTGTGGGCATGGAGTGCGTCATGGAAAGCCATGAGGCCAAGAACACAATGAAACTCCTGGCCCTTGTCTTTATTAGCTTGGCTGCCTGCCTGCTCCAAGGAGAGTGAGACTGAGGAGGATCTGTATACTCATCCTCACATGGCAAGCAGTTAGGCAGGCAGACATGCTGGCAGGTAGCACACATACCGACCAACTTGACCAGATGCAAATTCTCCACTTGTTCTACACTCCCCTCTCTTAGTACACTGAGTAAGTAATCCCCTTTGCCATTATCCATCCTTTGTAACAGTTAAGTAATCACTGTGTTTACAGGTGCCCCCACTCCAAATAGAGTCATACCAGCTTTTAAATACTGTTGTAACTAGTGTGCATGCAGATAACATAACAGGAATTTGAAAGTATATTTTTATTTTTGTATGTAATTTCTTAACTTAAAGGACCAGTGAGTAGGATTTAGTGGCATCTAGCAGTTAAGTTGCAGATTGCAACCAAATGAACACAGTTTTTAAAAGCTTTTAGGAGAAACTACGGTGGCCGTAGTCAGCGTTGGTTTGTCCGTTCTGGACTACTGTAGAAACATGGTGGTTCAACATTGTGGACTCCGTAGAGGACCCGCTCCCTCGTCTCATTCTAGGGAAACGAAAACACAACGATTGATATTTTTAGGTGATTATACACTAATGAAAACATACAATTCCATTGCTGCCAAAAGCGCATCCATCATTATTTATGTTCACTTTTGAGAGTTTCAAAAGTTCTGCAGGAGCTTCAGATGGATCCCCTTTCAGGACTATCAGGCATGAGAAGTAGTAGCCAAATAATGATAAAAATGGAGCTTTAATAAAAGAAAATGAACACAATAATAACAACCGTTTGATGCAAGATGCAGGGCATCAGCGCCAACTTAGTCATTTTCAAGGTCATCATAGAAAATGATGTGACCAGCTGACAGGAATGTAGAGATAGAAAGGCTGGCAGATGGACAGATAGGAAAGCTGCCACATAAACAGACAATATAGAGAGCGAATTCAACAGATGTCCATAGAACCAGACAGTGACTTGACACGACCACACTGACATGAAATGTACTTCTCCGAGGTCGTCGATGCCACTTGTGGAGGAGGAAAAAAGGTTTGAGATTGATAGAGAGCAGCAGTGCTTGGGTAAAAGCTGGCACTTTTTCCTTCCCCGGCTGTGTCATCTTCTCTGTTTGCCCTGGAGCGCCTCTTCTCAGCATCAGCCTCCATGTCAGGGCTCATCTCACAATCTATTGCTCTTTTTATCCTCACCCCCCCTCCCCGAGCCTATCTCTTTCAGCTTCCTTTCAAAGGTCATACGAAGAACAGAATCTTATTTTGTTCTATCCGGTTGACAAATGTTTACAGATACAAGGTGAGAGGAGAGAAAGTAATGCACTAAAGCAAAACACAAAGAGAGAGCCTCAAAAAGCTATCCTCTGTTTGTGTTAAATGTGTTTATTATCATTCCTACATTATATTTGTCGGTGCTGCTCTTCAAACCCTCAAAGTTGTGTGCGGGTGTGTGTGTGCGCGTGAGTGTACATGTGTGGGTGTGTGGAGCAACCTGCTGTTAAATGCTGTACATCACGCTGGGGACAAAACGATGAACTTTGATTCGCAGGCATCCTCTTCCAGATTAAAGTCTCTGGGGTCACACCCACCCTTCAGCCCTGCCAAACTGTTCTGTGTGTGTGTGTGGTGGGGTGAGGCAAAAAGTGTCTCATTTTATCTTACACTATCATGTGTATAAAAGATATGTAGCTTTTGATTGATTAATTGACTCATTATTGCTCTGCATTGATGGGCCCATGGATGTAAATGATATTTCTATGTTAAAGTAAATGTTAAATAGCTATACATTGGGAAAGCTGTCACTGATATAGTGATGGATATAGAGTAACATAGGTCTCCAAGTCCCTCCTTTTTGCTGTAAAACCAAAAAAATATTCTGGTATCTCGTTTCCACTTTATCCAGTCAGGAGAGAGAACTGAGAGGGGACTGCTAACTGCAAGAATGGACAGGAAGGTAGCCGAAATGCCGATTTCACTCACAGCACCTTTAAAATTGAAAGACCATGAAGGACAAAACCAAAGTAAAAGGGGTTTTTAATAGGAGAGGAAACCACATTTTTCTACCACCAACAAGGCTTAATGATTATTCCTAAATGCCTTTACTAGTTTTAGTGAAATCTTGACTAATTCCAGGGACAACAGCTGTTGTAACTGAAATCACATCATGTCAAAATTCTAATTAGATCAATGTAAAGTAAAATTATGATGCAGATTTAAACATCATTATCCACCCACCGTTACTGAACCATTATTTGGAGGTGCAGTCACATGAGTTGCAGGATTTGTTATCTCACGTCACTCTCTTGCCTCGACGCTTCACATCTTCTTAACGCGCTGTTTGTTGTCATTATTTTTTTTTTGCAGATGATGAAGCACGCATGGGACAGCTACAGACAGTACGGCTGGGGTCACAATGAGCTGAAGCCCCTCGCCAAGAAAGGACATTCCACAAATATCTTTGGTAAGCCAGACATACCACTCTCTCCTACTGCTGCTGTCGGTCCCCATTGGCAGTTTGCTCACACAGTTGTAAAATCACACATGGATGCATGCATGAATGCACACACACTCTGTCTTGCTCACACTCAGCACACACACACACACACACACACACACACACACACACACACACACACACACACACACACACACACACATCCTGTCTTTTCTCTTGTGGACAAGGTTATGTGATAATGCCTCAGGCAAGATGCATATCACTATAGAAAGAGTGTTTGCAAACAGAAGCACAAGATCACTGAAACCACCTGCAGAGGACACACGTCACTGAAATGCCAGATAAAAGAAGATCAGGATATGTATTTGAAGTACTGGTAATATTTCACCATATTTTATCCAGTATATAAATCAATGGAGCAGTTGTTTTTCACACAAGGATACTGTGTTAGCTCTTTATAAAATGTCCCTGTAGCACAATGTCAGCAACACTAATGCCCATAATTAAAATAATCACATTCTTGGGTTAACACTCTAATATTTAAATCTGAATAAATCTGTCACCCAGTAAAATGTTGTAATGTTACATTGTGGTTTTGCCAGTGGGAATAGAAACACTTTGGGTGATCTTTGTCAGGGTCCCATCACAAGGGAAATTCCTGTTTGTAGAGAGAAACTGCCACTGGCAGTGAGGTCAGTCCAACGCAGCCTCTCATTATCTGTGATTTGTGTTTTGGAGGCTGTTTTTTGGTATGCGCCTCTCCAGCTGCCATCTACAATAACATAGACACTAATTCTTCTGCTTACTTTGACCAACACCTATGACTTGATGTTGGGCTCAAAGTAAACATTTTTCACGGAAACACACATTTCACACATGAAAGTCTTTAAAACTAATAAACAAATAAATAATATACATAATATTAATAAATATGTATGGGAAATGCTAAATGGAAAAATGGACTGAATATCCTTTCGCTCGAGCACCCAAGTCAGACTCCATTTTATCAGTAAAAAGATCACTCCATTGTTTTTTGGCTATGGCATTGGAACAGCAAGGCGGAATAACCGCAGGTCAGGCTGTACACTTTTCCCCTGCAACGTGGAAGATTTTAGCCTACTATCGCAATTCTGATTTGGATACAGCCCTAGCGTAAACGTTGAACAGTGTATGTGTATTTGCACAACAAAAGCAGCTGGCAGTAACAGGCCAGGATATGCATCATTGTGCCAGCAAAAGCAGGGAAGAAGACTGCAAGCTAGTGAACATGGATGTAAACTGTACAGCTTTTAAAGTATTTAAAAAATTGGCTTTCAAAGGTTTTATGAGGAATAAAATGCACTTTAGAGCTGAAGCATACAAACAAGTAACACTGAATGTTAACATAACTTTTGTTCGTTTACATGAAACCTTCAATGGGTCCCTTTTAGGGTCCATATTGTTTCCTGAATAAACACAGTAAGTGGCACCAGAGAGACACACGCTGAAACTGGTGGACACAACACACACCAGCATTTTCCCCTTTTTTCCAGTGCAGATGTGACCAACACTCAAGAAAAGCAGCCTCTTTATTTTTAATAAACGAGTTGTTCATCTCCTTGGCCTACTCTGCCACTATACCTTCTTCTCTTCTCAGGCAGTGTCCTCTTCTGTGCTCTTGTAGCTGTCACAGTGCATGAATAAGGTGTAGAATTATCCAGATCTACACCCCATAGTTACAGATAATATAATAAACACTTCTTGAGCAACAGTTGGCTAGAATGACTGTGTGCTGCAGGCATTAGATGATTCCCGTCATGTCACTTACTGTGCGCTCACCTTTGCCTTTATATAGTCTTCTCTTCTCATGATTGAAAGAATTATTTTAACTTCCAAATGAAATGATATCAGTATGTAGATATCAACAGATGCATTGGTTATATATATGTAAATCCAAAGTCTGAAATATCAGTGCTGATGATCTCATATTAATTCCAAATCCCATATGGCTCTTTGCTTGGTCTTAATTATACATGTGAAGATGTTCCTTAGTGCTAGTTTATCTGAGTGCTCCTTGTGTGTTCCTCAGTTCTGCTTGTGTGTTTGTGCCTTAGGTTCGTGTGTGTGTGTGTGTGTGTGTGTGTGTGTGTGTGTGTGTGTGTGTGTGTGTGTGTGTGTGTGTGTGTGTGTGTGTGTGTGTGTGTGTGTGTGTGTGTGTTTTGTTTGTTTTTTGGTGTGTGTGTGTGTGTGTGTGTGTGTACATGCTTATGAGGCTTTTGTGTCAAATTGGAACGTTCCGTCTGGCAAATCGGCTGGAGGCTCCTCTGTTATTTTATGAGCTGCTGCTAAATGCTATATAGATGTTGTTTGTGTGTGTGTGTTTCCATTTGTTGTTGTCCTTGTGTGACTGTTCATCTGCAGCCTGTCTTTGTGTTTTTCTCAGTGTCTCTGTGTGTGTGTTTTCTCCTGCCTTCTTGTAATGGTTGACTCTGGGTATCTGCAGGTTATTAGTCACAGGGTGGTCAGTAAAACACGAGCAACTCACAAGGCAAAGAATCAGCCCCCACGCTCTTCACAAAACATACTTCCATTATTGATGAGGCGTATCCTGTCTTCCTACAGAACTTGCTATATTGAGTGTGAGTGTGTGTGTGTGTGTGTGAGTGTGTGTGTGTGTGTGTGTGTGTGTGTGTGTGTGTGTGTGTGTGTGTGTGTCTTGCAGAGTTGCACAGTCAAGAGAAAGCAATATATTGGAGTTGTGGCAGACCTGTGTTGCTGTCTTACTGTAACTATTAGGGGCATTGACAGCTTGTACCGAAGGGACACACACGCACAAAAGCGATGTGATTGGATGGAAACATGGATTACTGATTGACTGTGAATTGTGGATTTAAGTCACTTTGGATGTTTTGTCATTTAAAGTGAACCCTACTGCAATATACTTTGATGGTAAAGCCAATCTAACAACATAATCCTCCTTTTTTACTTGAGCTTTGAAACTGACCTCATGGGCTGACCACGCTGGCACAGAATTGTCCTGTGTCAGGCATTACTTATACACAGCAGTTTGCAAACAGTTTGCCTCTGTTAAAGAATGCCTTCCATGTAGTTGTTAAAAGAGACAAAGGGTAAAGCTGTGTGTGCTCGCTCCACCCTTACAGCTCAGCCTTAATCTGTCCAGAGAGAAGACGAGAGGCCAGAATGGTAACAAGAGGACTGGGGCTCTCATTGTGGCACCAGGCTCAGATAACCTTGAGTTCACTGCCTGGCCCTGTTTTGTCTCTTTTCTTTTTTCTTCTCCTCTGTGAGTGGGGCTGATTTTGAGTACAGATACAAACACAGCCTTTGTCTAGAGGGTAAGCAGTTCAAGCAAGGATAACGCATGGCCTTGTAAAGGAAACACGGTTCAAGCTGGGTTAAGAAAAGCAAGGTTCAAGAAGGGTCAGACACAGCCAGCAAACTACCTTACACACACACACCCTTAGAGTTAATGGCAAAGACTCCATGCTGACAAAGGTCCAGCAAAGACTGAGGCTCATTTTGAACTGAGGATGGTGTTTTGGGCTGCTGTAGAAACATGGCAGTTAAACATGGTGGACTCCATGGAAGAGGATCTGCTGCCTCTGGAGATAAAAAGTAAGGTAACAAAAACACAAAGATACCTATGAATATTCAATTTCATTTCTGCCAATAGATCCTCCTGAATGTTACACACTGGACCTTAAAGTCATTTTGGAGCTTCTTAAATGAAGTGATTTTCAGCCTTGCTTTGTTGTATATGATAGTAATTGGAACATCTATGGGTTGTGGACTGTCGTTCAGAAAAATTAAACAGTTTGAAGATGTCACTTTGGACACTGCAAAGTGGTGATGGCCATTTTTCACTCCTTTTTTACATTTAATAGTTAGACTAAACGAATCAATTCAGGAGAAAATAGTCATCAGACTAATTAAAATGTAATTACTAATTTAGAATGTTTGCTATAATAATAATAAACTGCACGTCTGAACTAACCACCACCACATACTCCCAGTTCCATGACTGCTTTTTGTGTCTTCTGGCTTTGATCGTAGTAACTCTGTTCTCAGCAGGTAGCCTGTTCAGTCAGATGATGGACGTCTCTATTCATCTCTCTCGTTACTCTGTCTGGCCCACACACACACATACACACACACATTAATAATACCCATGGGTAATTGCATGAGAAACATCAGCCAGAACTGATTCAGCCTTAAAGCATTTGACCCTCGTTGAGGTTGTGGGTCAGTTGAAGCATTGCGTCCACCAGCAGCTGAAGTGGTCTTGTTTATTGTAGATGGACAGTGCAAGCTCTGATCTTTAAACACACTCTTCATTGTTTGCGGGATAATGCCCTCAGGGGACGAAGGTCACTTTACACTGATCAGGACTTCAGTGTGAGTGTAATTCCACACTGCTGTCTCTCCATCCCTCTGTGACCAGAGCAGTTTACAAACCCAAGATTCATCCCATTTTCCCGCCTGAAGCGGTGTAGGTGAGATGAAATAAAGCATGAATCATCTTTTTAAGGTGGGAGAGGTGAGTTAGCATTTTTGCACCTCAGGATCCCTCGCCTCAGAGTCAATAGGTTTTTTGAATGAACATAAAATACATTACTACCAATCTGTGAAACTTTTACATGTCTTAAAAAAGGCAGTTGCTAACAAGTGACTAAATTAGACTACAGAGGTTGTCTGTGACAAACAGCTTGCCAAACACGGAGATCTACTTACTAGTCCTCACTAGCCCTGTCATGTTTATACTCGCACTCTTGCAAATTATTCTAACTCAAACTTTCAAACTTGTAGATTTTAATTATGTGATTTAATTACAAGTTTAGTGGTGGTGACATTAATTTCATGTGGCTGTGGTGTAGTTTATTTATAGTCTAACATCAGCTTTTTACTTTGCATTTACACAAAAATCATAAAATTGGAGTTAATTTGTGAAGATTATGTTTTGTTTGCCACAGAGCTTATTTTTTGTAATAATCCAAAATCCAATTGAA